AGTTCTCATGTCAAGTCTGGCCATGCAGTCTGCTTTTGTCTTTTGATATTAAGAGGCTAGTACTACTGGGGGTGTCTAACACATCCGTCTCCAGTTTGACCTCAGTTCCCATCATGTCCACACAGTGCAATGAAGTGCCATGCTAGGTCACATTGACAGGAGTTTTAGTCCAAGATACTCAAAGGGAGCTAGCTTAAGAAAGCCTATTATTATTATTATTATTATTATTATTATTATTATTATTATTATTATTATTATTATTATTATTATTATTACCTTTAGAGGAGGATTATGAGAAGAATTTAAGGATTATAAATTTCTCCTTGCTTGTCACAGAAAAGATTTTGAGCTCAGGGGCAGCTCCCAACCAATAAAAACACACCAATTTTGCCACTGAGTCCTCTGTTCATTAAAAAATGGAGTCCATGAGTATACAAAGGTACATATGTGCTTATTCTGCCTAACCTGTTCTGTGCTCTATTTATTTATTATAATGCATGCAAACTAAACTGGGTATGTGTAAAAGGCTGGCCTTGACCAGCATTGACAGCATATCTGATGTGTCTGGAAAGCTGACAAGCAAGGCACGGTGGTAATGGCATTCCCTCCCTTGCATTTCTGTCAGCAACTATTAGCTTATGATTAATTTATTTACACTGACATCTCACCTTTCCTCCAAAGGACGGAAGCTGGCATTCGTGCAACACACTAAGCTGAGATTTATTGAATAAACTGTAATTGGTTGGGTTCACACAATCAGCTGACCCATATGGCATGGTTTCCAAACCATAGTGGCTGTTTTCACACAACACTAAACCATAAGCAAACCACATTTGGGTTTAACACAAAGCGTACATCCAGGCACAGTCTCTTTTCCTCTCCTTATTTTCCCCTTAATATAGGCTGTGAATGGCATCTGTGCAGCTTCGTGGCTGGATGGAGACCTGAAATTGGATCTCCTTGGCCCTAATCTAACCATTCTACCACACACATCCCCATTTACTGGAGAGATGAAGAGATCCTCAGAGCACCGAAGGTGTCTCACCTAGACTCCGTAACTTCTGATCTTTCAAAACGTCACCACGTGTTGCCTATTCAGTCTGTCAAAGTCTTTAGGGCTTTTGAAACTTAGACTTGAAAAAAAAGAAAGAAAGAAAACAGCCCTGGGGCTTTCTGTGTGGCTAAGTTCTGCAAGGTGTGGTTCCAAATTTTAGCAGTGCCCAAGGGTGTTTGCAGGGCGTAGCCAGAAGTCACGATGGAAGCCACAACAGTGTAATTGAAGCTCCACCCCTTTTTGTGTGTCACACATGCAGAGGGATGGAATTGTCACGCACATAAACAGGAGCGGAGCTTTGATGTGGCTGCCATCTTGATGTGCCTGGGGACACCTCTGGCAGTGCCAATACCTTTAGACTGACCTTCAGGGGACTTTCAGGGGACGGGCAGTGGAGAATTACAGACAGCTGTTATTTTTATAGTTGGTTGAAGGAACCCTACCCCTTAACAAGTGGACCAAGAATTGTATTGGTCTCACCTCATTTATCCAGGCAGCCTTTCCAAAAGATTATCTTAAATGCTCACATTTGCTTAGCGTCATGGAAATAACAATGTCCAAATATTTGTTCATTGCCCAGCGGCTGTCCCAATTAACCAAACAATGGTAGGAAAATAACCAGTACAGTATTTATTCTGCAAATGCAAACCATAAATATTTGATCAAATGGGGTAGCAAACAGGCTGAGTGAAGGACCTGTAATACAAAGTAGCCTAAACCAGTGTTTCTGAGCCTCAGCAACTTTAAGATGGGTGGACTTTAACTCCCAGAATTCCCCAGCCAGAACGCCGCTAGCTTTGCCTCTCAAAGAGCCAGTACATTTTCACCTGCTTTGTAATACTCATCAAGGGTCCTCCCCTCCCTCTTCCTGAGCTGACCAGACTACCTCCCCTCCTTGGATTTGCTTTCCATGGGGGCATAAAGTAAATAAGCTTTCACTGCATTGGCCACCGGGTACAGGTGTGCAAAGCCGCCCCACAGCCACGCAAGGAAGCGATGGGACACCCCTGCACTTTCACTTCAGGAAGAGAGAGGGAGCCCAGGAGCTGGGAGGCACGAGAAGGCGGGAGTTCCCACTAGTGGGGCTGACCCACCCTGAAGCTATAGAGAAGGCCCAGGACATTTATCTTCCCTACATTTTCTCTGGAGCCTGGAGTGAAACAGGCTGTAGGCCCCATGGCAACAGCCGTGTGTACAGGAGGTTCAAAAAGTCAAGATGGTGCCCGCGCGATCAAAGTCTGCCTCTCTTTTAGTGGGCAGATGGCCATGCCTGGCAACTTGCAATATGTGCTGATACCACATTGGCATCATATCTATGGCTGGAAGGATCCTTGGTGACAGCTGCAAAAGAAATGTTGGGAGAGTTTTGTTTTCAGTTTACTGTACGTTAACCGCAACTTGTTCTTTTGGGCCCAGCGGATAAGACTAACCCTTAACTACAATTTATTTGAAACTGTCAACTTCAAAGGCATGGATGATGGCACCTTTGCCCTACCTGATGTCCATCATATTTGCTGAGATGATAACTTTTAGAGTTCCCAGCAATATGAGCTAGGAATTCATTAAGAGGACCACAAGTAAGTTTGATGGGCACATCTCAGTTAACATGTGAAAACATGGCTCTGCCAGATGGCCTGGCAGCCAGATGGGGGCTCACATTGCTGGAATTGACTGGTGGGATGATCGATGCTGCTCCCCCCCCATCATCCTGAATCGTATATATTCTTTTTATATAGAATTGTTATTAGTTATTTTAATATGGACATTTATATTTGTATGGTTTTTATTGTTTCAGATTTTAATTGTAAGCCACCCGGAGCCACCCTCTGGGGGAGATGGGTGGCATATACGTTTAATAAATAAATAAAAATAATAATAAATTAACCACAGATCAGAATTCGTATGATGCAGCACTAAAATCCACTTAATTAAAAAGGGAAGAAGAAACTAGAACAGACCCTGGGTTTTTTGGCTTGCCTTTATTATAGGATTGAGATTCCACAAGACATACTAATTAATAGTAATAATGGTATTCAGGTAGTCCTTGGGTTATGACAGCAGTTGGGACTGGAATTGCCATTGCTAAGCAATGTGGTTGTAAAGTTCGATGTTACACGACTGCATTGCTTAACAATGGCAATCCCAGCAGTCCCGGTTGTCGCCATAACCCCAGGATTGTGTGGGTGGTTAAGCAGGAAATGGCAGAAATGGAGCAGCTCACTGGAGCAACTTGCAACTTTCCCTGCCAGCTTCCCCACTGACTTTGCTTGTGGGAAGCCGGCAGGGAAGGTCGCAAATGGCGTTCACGTGACAGCAGTTCACTGCAATGTTGTAATTGCAAGCCAAGCACCTGAACATCCAGATTGCGATCATGTGACCCTGGGGGAATGCTGTGATGGCCAGAACTTCAAGGACTGGTCGTATGTCCATTTTTTCAGTGCTGCCGTAACTTTGGACAGTCACTGGGCGAATGGACATAAACCAAGGACTACCTGTAATGAAAACCAGTAGTTATCAATAACTACTATCACAAGTAGGCATCGGTTGCTTGCATTCCCAATGAGAGGACTGCAGCAGCCTACAGGGGACTGCAATATTCTTTGAAACTCAGTGCTTTACTATAGCAATGGTGGTCCTGGTCCTGAGGCATAGTAGGAGGTAAAAAATGTGCAACTGTAGAAAAACTAAGAAGATTGGAGTCTCATGAATGCTTGGATATGTGATTCTTTGAGTCTCTTTGAATTTCTTGGAATAGAAGTACTGGGAACTGTTTATAATCCGGTGGCATGCAGTCAAGACATCTGTTCCTAAGTGCCAGTTCTGGCTCCTTGCAAAAGATCAGTTTGAAAGAGGAGCAGCCAGTTGTGGGGAACTGCCATGTCATCAAGGATAATTCACTAGCGTCCTTCGGAGCCATGTTTTTAAAATGTTTGCAGGTTTTCTTAAAGAAGGTAAAGAATGAGTATGGAGGTAGTCTTGTTTAGTGACCACAATCAGGACCGGCAACATGGTCGTTAAGGGAAGCAGTGGCTAATGAAACTGTGACTGTGCTTACAATCTTGCTTCAGCTTTCCTTTGCTTTACAAACCTGCAAAGATTGTCAATGTGAGAAACGGTCACAAAGTTACTTTTTTGTCCCTGTTGTAACTGCAAACAGTTGCTAAACAAGGCAGTCCTTAAACGAGGACTAGCTGTATAACATTTTCCCTCAACATGGTGGTCTCCAGTTGTGCTGGCTGTAGACAATGGGAACCGTAGTCCTACCATATCTGGCAGGCCTCAGGTGGGAAAAGCTCTTTGACTTTGGTCCCTCTTCCTTTCTAGGGATCCCTGCAGTACGACTGCTTCCCAATAGCTCTCAGTGGGGAGCTGCGTGTCACTGCCTTCACATGGCCTCGCTATCATTCTGCAAGTGTGTTGAAAATCATGCACAAAGGGCCAGGTGAGTTCTCCAGAAATGAGACACAGAGCAAACTTTGATGAATCACCCTGAACCCCTCCACCCATTGGATGTCTTTGCTATGTTTTGTTGATAGACTGCACCTGGCCCAAAGCCAAAGACACCATCCGCCTCTGCCAAGGTATGTTGCAGTGCGCTGATTTCCCAACCGATACTGCTCCCCCAGTGCAGGCATCGACAGAGACTCAACAGTCTGTTTAGGACCATCTCATAGGAGTCAAGCAATTCCCAGAATACCTTTTTGTAGCATAAAAGAGCCACATTCTTGTTGGATCAAACCTGACAGCCAAATGTCTGAAGGAGGTCCACAAACAAGGCTTTAAATCACAGGTTAAGCCATAAGCCAGAACTTGCAAGCCAGAACAGCTGCACTCACAGAGCACATTAAGCCCAAACAAACTAACCGTATTATGATTGCTCTGTAAGTTCATTCACACTCCCTCTCTGATATGCTAATTAGAACTCTGACACATGCTACAAGCTTTCCTAATTCAGATCTTCTTTTAGATAGGGTCAGATTGTGTGCAAGGGTGGGAATCTGATCCTGGCATTCATTCTTAAATACCAAGTTTCCAGTTCTTATTACTGCAGGGAAAAGTTTGAATTCTGTGCCTGAGAAATACTTGAAATATTAAATAAAAGTTGTACAGGCCATGATTTCTATAATATGTAATTCTGGGCTATAGAATGCCGTCAGTTCTGACTGTCATAAGCAATTTACTAGCACCTCTGAACTCTGCAAACTTCATATGATGCACTAAAATCCATTTTTTATTTAAATGTATTTATTCTTTTAGTGTCTAAGAAAGCCACCCAAATAGCTTAAGGAAAAGGTGTTGCCAGGTATGATATTTAAATGGTGATCCCAGCTAGTTTTTGCCTGTGGTATGATCCTAGAAAACAGCACATAAACTGTTCTTATATTGGAAGGATTCTACATTGTGCTAAATTTAGGATTTGTTTTAATCCAGTTTGTTGACTAAGCCACAATTGGCTGTGTTCATCCACTTCACCAAGCCACTTTATAACTCAATGTAACGTGTTAATCCAACCTGCTGTAGTTGATTCCATAAACTAAGACTGGGTAATCTTGAATGGGCTAACGATACATCTGAGTGCATTACATCACTCACATGGGCACTAAGCTGGTATTTTTCTTTGTTTTTCTAACAGCAAAATGCTTGCTTTAGGGCTTACATTTTAATGTGCTTTCCACCTCACAATGGAGAGAAATTGTGCTGTCACTGTTTAGCTGTCATGGTTAGAGGAGCTTTGAAGGGCTATGAAAAGGGAACATGGAGATCCCTAATATTCCTGGTGTTGCAGGTTGCCCCTCCCATAAATCATGATTAAGCAAGCTAAGGCTTAGGGCAGTGTTGTCCAAACTTGGCCACTTTAAGATGAGTGGACTTCAACTCCCAGAATTCCCCAGCCAGCCTGGGAGTTGAAGTCCACTCATCTTAAAGTGGCCAAGTTTGGACAACACTGGCTTAGGGCATTGTGTGAACTAGTTGCATTAACTAGTGTCAGTTCATCAGAGGTTCACACCAGAGAGATTCCAGGGATTTGTGGGGCTTTCTGCAGGCAAAGCATGCTTTCTACCAAGGAATGAAACTCATGCAGGGATTTAAAATGTTTTAGAATTATACTTATTAAGAATTTAGAATTATACTTATTAAGATCCAGGGAAAAGGGAGGAGACTCTTCCACAAGTACTGTACCTTTCCTTGGCTCATTATGAAAGGATGTGATGGGGAGGGGGACAACGCAAACCATCTCGAGGGTGGTCCAATTTCTAACTGAGAAGATGAAGAGAACGATCAATCCAGTCAATACCTGGATGGAAGAATATCTGGGATTCCCATACGTGCCACTTCCCCAGTCCCTTGGCAGGCAAGTGACGCACAGCACATAAAGCAGTTTAGGGCCTGGATCAATGAGATTTGGGTTTTTGTTTAGGGATAACCAATTTTCCAGAATCATAGGAGAACAGTGTAGCTCAGCTGTCTTTTCCAAATGATTGGTGCACGAGGGTGGGTTTTGCTGCTTTGTCCTCAGTGGGTGCCAACTGGAATCAACCCCCAAGAGGAGGAAAACACAAGGCACCACATACGTTTGGTTTTCAACCTGTGGCTTGAGGGCCACTGGTGGACTCCTTGCTGGGAAACCAAAATACGAGCAACAATCTTAATACTGTACCCAGAAGCTTTTGCCCAGTCTTTTATGATTTTGTCTTTCTTGCTTGGAACTTAATGAGATTAGTCAATCTCATCATTTTGGGCCATTTACTTTAAAAAAAAAAAAAACTTTTTATTTTGTTTTGGGGTCCTGCCGTCACCATCTAGAGACAGTCCTGCCTGCAGGTGCCACATGGCTGGCTCTTGACTTACACTCAAAAGCCTTCAGAGGTGATGTAGCTGCCTACATAAAAGAAAAAGGAATGACCGAAGTAGAAGAAAGATAACAGGGGAACAGAAAGCCATCTAGGAAGGCTGGGTGCTTCTTGATTTCCCAGGAAACAGAAATTCCCACTTGGATCATGTGGTGCTCATGCTGGAAGTCTGACTGAGCGCTCAATGCTGTGGGATGCTAATGACAACCTTGGTCTTACAGTGCCCAGTTTAGCAATTTCTGTGGGACTACAGTCGGCAGTTCTACATGTGCAGGACACCCCTGAAGAACAGCATTTCGAACTGTGGCTGTATCTGAATCGGACAGGGGGAGCTAAAGGGCTTGATCAGGAGACCACCAAGTTGCTGGTAAGTGATGAGTTTTCCCCAATATTGGTGAAACCTAGTATTTCCCTACAGGTAGTCCTAGTTTAATGACGGTAATTGGGACTGGAATTTCTGTTGGTAAGCAATGCAGTCAATATGTCACGTGACCGCATCGCTTAGCGACAGCAATCCTGGCACTCCCCATTGCCATTGTTAAGGGAGGATGGCAGGTTGTTAAACGAGTCCCAGGAGGCTTGCAAGCGGGCCAGCAGGCAGGTAAGTGGCTGCTGCTAGGTGGGGGAGGCATGGTGCGAATGCGGCAGAGCCGGGGTGGCTGCTGCTGGGTGGAGGAGGGTGCGAGCAACTTATTGAAGGAACTTGCGACCTTCCCTGCCAGCTTCCCCATTGACTTTGGTTATGGGAAGCCAGTAGGGAAAGTCACAAATGGCAATCATGTGACTGCGGGATGCTGCAACTATCATGAGTGCAAGCCAGTTGCAAACACCCAGATTGTGATCATGACGCTGTGACCGCCAGAATTTCGAGGACCAGTTGTAAGTACCACTTGTTCAGCACCATTGTAACTCTGAATGGTCACTGAACAAGTGGTCATTAAATGAGGATTACCTGTACATTGTTCCTCCGTTTACTCTTGTTTCTTACTTGCTTATGAACCTTGCTCATTTTGTTACTGCCTCTGAATGAACAAGATATGGAGCTTCAGGGAATCAGATCTCCAGGGTTTTATTCCCAAATCAGAGAGAGAATGGCTAAAATCAGGGGATTTCCTGATGGTTATTTTTCAGCCTGAAGAAAGAGCAAGTGTCAGCCCTATGAGGTAGACCAGACTACGAAACCAATGTGGTGTAGGTCAGGGCCACTTTTATTGTAACAGCTATAGTAACAGAATCTTGCAAGTCTGAATGTGCTTCCCCTCCCTCCCTCCCTTTTTCTTTGTGTGAACTAGGGAAAGGCTTGTCTGAGATGTTTTCTCAAGTTACTTTCTTGACCTGGATCTGACTGTTGCCTTGGTAGCATTCTTCCTCCAGTTCTTCACGGCCATTCCCTCTTTCCTTTACAGCAGCAAGATTACAGTTCTCATTGCTATGCAGTGCTTATAAAACATGATACGCTGAGCAAAAGCTGAACCGCAGCTTATATACCTTTGGCCTACTACATTTCAACAAGAAGACAAAGGAAGAGGCAGACACAGTGTAAATTACGGCATGACATTGGAATGTTTCTGATAAACCCATCTGGGTGACTTTCTAGCCATCCTGTCTCTGAGATATGGCCAATGCATATCAACAATGTTGCACTGGGCCATGACTGATTCCTCTCCCCGTGGCCACTCAGGGTCAATTCAGCTTGCTGTGAATGTTTTCTTACAAGGGGACTTTCAGCAGTTCACGTGTATTGGGGTGGGGGTGGGGGACACTTCATAGATTTGGTTGTAAATGCAGCTCACATGGGCTTTCAGTACAATCAACCATATTATCTTTCTTGACTGGCCTCGGGGATTGGGAGTGGGGAGGTACTGTGTTGCTGTCAGCCTTACCATTACAGTTGCAGTGGTCCTCCTCTGTGGGAGAGGCCCTATCTTAGGCCCCTCTTGTGTGGAGTGCCTCAAGCTTGGTTCTCTCACCAGTCTTCTTTAACATCTAATGAAACTACTGGTTGAGATGATTCAGTGGCACAGGGTGAGGTATTATCAGTATGCTGATGATACCCAGTTCTATGTTTTCACCCCTAGCTGGACAAGCGATACCATTCAGTTGCTGATCCAGCGCCTGGAGGCTGCAAGGGTCTAGATGGGGCTCTGGCTCTGGCTCAACCCTAGCAAGATGGAGTATGGAGTAGCTTTGGTTTTTTGGCCCTCCTGGATCCAGAGAGGTGTCATCTTTGACTCTCCGTGGGATAGCACTTGGGCAGAGCTACTGTGCAATTTGGGTTTCCTCCTGTTTGAAGAGCAGATGGAAGCTATGGCTGGGGGTGGGGGGCTTTCCACAGATCCACCTTTGTGCGCCAACTGTGCCCAATCCTGGAGTCTTCCTCATAGCCACACATGCCTTGGTCACTTCCCAGTTGGATGGCTGCAGTGTGCTCTACATGGGGCTGCCTTTGAAGACCATCTGAAAATAACTGGTCCAGAATGCAGTGGGTCCAAGTTATCTGTGGACTGCCTCTCCCTGAGGATGCCTGCCCACTCCACCAGATCGGATAGGATGGGTGTGCTCCAGGTCCCTTCTCTTGAATGTTGTCATCTAGCCAGAACTATGAAGCATGTTGCCCTGTGGAACATCCTTCCCCTGATCCAGCAACCCCCTCACCCTTCTTTTTAAGGCCTTAAAAAGCTGGTTTGTCCCTTGGACATTGGGACAGGGTGAGGCTGGAGCCCAGTGATTGTGATATTGATATATTGGGGAGTGTTGTCTTAGGGCACCAAGAGGTGTTCCTTGGATGCTGGTTTTTACTGTTTATGTTTTTATCTCTGTGGGTGTGAGCTGCCCAGAGTTATGGCATATAAGATGGGTGGCCATATATGTCCTTTAAATAAATAAAAAATATATAATCAACACATTAGGAACCTTATTATCCTGAAAACATGTGTGAAGCAGCAGGCCAAGATTTCCTCTCACTTTTTTAATCTCTCCATAACCTATTATTATATTTTAGACTGGATCAGAGAATGTGAGCTTACCAATCTCGCAGGTGTTTCCTTGTCTCTGCTTTCAGGTAAGAACAATATTTCACCATGTCTTCTCTCCCACACATCATGATGCTACCTGCCCACAGTAATATCTGGCATATCTGCTCCCTACAACTGCACCATCAGGTATCAGAAAACAAGATTAAGGCAGAGTTATAGGTAGGATATTTTTACCCCATTTTCACACCTACCACATTTCTCAGAACTGCTCCTAGACACCGTAAGATTGAGGTCC